GCAAATAATCTTGTTACTGCACTGGGTTTTGTGAAAATTTTTTATACTCTGTTTGTGGTTCATTCTAACTCAAAATTAGCTGGTATATCTTATCAAGAAAAAGTAAAGCATACTTTCTTAAAATGAGAACATTTTTCTAATCAAAACATGCTTGACAAGATAAATATTCTTTTTGGACAACAAATAAGACTTATTTTCTTGATACAAGGCTTTTTTTACTTTCTTGAAATTGCTTTTTTGCAGTGTAGGCTGAGATATGATTGGCTTCATAATGGCTAAAAACAGTAGAAATGTTAAAAAGGCAGAAGAAAATGGGCAGCTATACACTGGAACCTGACAGCCAAAGAAAATTCATGAAGCAATGGTAACATAGCTGAAGTAATAGCTGAGAATAGATTCAGTAGTTTAGAAGTAGAACTTGTAAAAAGGAGGTTGATTTACATGAATTGTAAAAACTTACTGTGAACAATGTATGAAAATATAAACAAATCAGAGAAATATGTAATGTGAAGAGTGAGAAACTGTTGGACAGGAGAGAGATGCATAAGCCAATGTCAAGACATGGAGAAGCTGTAAATGGAGGCGCAGTGCAGTTTTCTGTGTCCTCCCTGGTCTTGCGTTTGGATTTTTCATTACGAAATGGTAGCTCTTAGCAGAAAACGAACCAAACCAAGCAGGAGTGTGAGTATTTTTTGGTAATTTTAGAGTAAATATTTTGGGAAATAGAGTGAGTTTCAAACCGAAGCCCCATCTGCTTGTCTCTGAAAATGTTTGTATTGGAGTCTATGGGCAGCAGGTAGCGAAATCTTAAAGAATCATCCATCAAACATTCAGGCTAAAATAAATTTCTACTGATTTTGAACTTAGTACCACTTTACTGACATGCCATTGAACAGAAAAAAAGCACCTCTCTTAATCAACTAAGGATCTACTAAGGAACACCAACCAGCTATGACCAGCTGCTTCCCCTCAGCAGAAAAAAGGGAGCTAAAGTGGAAAACTGCAGTCCTCACCTGACAATTATCTGGACTGATAAACTGCACTGGGGGGTATATATTTCCATTTTGGATGAACTACTCCTTTAAAACATCTCATGAGAATGATTAATTAGCTTCATGACCTGAATTATTTATCTTTTTGTTACAGTTAGTTACCAAGCACTTCAGGAAAAAACTTTTTTGCATCTTCTCGGAGGAAAGTGGGCAAGCCTCTCAGTGCTGCTATCTTTCAGTGGGACACAATGTCGGATGTCTAAAGAGTATCCAGTGGAAAACACAAGTATTTCAATAAGTATAGTACTGTACTGAACATATACATAATGAAAAATCAGAAATCTTTTATAGTACTGAAGATGAAGCACACACAACTTTACTTTAACAAATTAAAATACCGTTTAACCAAATGCCAACAAATAAAAACACAAAAGAAGGACTGCTGACATGCATTTTTACTGAAGCATATCCACTTTCTGTGTATCTTTTGTAAGAGAGTATTTTCATGCTCTTCTAAAAATGCCAGACAAAGGAGCACTTCACTCACCTGATCATCAAGTTTATCCAGGAGGTCTTCCATCTATAGACCAAAAGCTCCCTTTCTTAGACCGGTAAAGTTTCAGCAGGCCAGGTCCAAATTTGTCAAGGGACAAGAAAACAGACAACAAAATATTGTAATTTGTTCATAACCATAATGTCAATGTATATAAATATATACTGTATATATATATATATGATCCTCCGAGCTTCGCTTCATATGTCTGCCCCATGAAAGCGTCTGCATGACGACTTGCGTTTGCATGGGCAAAATACAAAACGAGTTATCTTATCAAATTTAACCATAGCACAAGTGCTATAAACATGCCAGTCTATGCCAGAGCTAACGTAATTTAATGTGATGAAAGTAAAAACACACTGACTGTACCTGCTTGAGCAAAATGGTTGTGGGCTCCACGTCGTTGTCTATCCAGAAATTGTCCGATGGGTTCAGCAGAGAGCCGTTAAAACCGGTTTAAACTGGCATCTACAGAGTTGGCCAAACTTAACTCAAAAATCTGCTCAAAGATTTAGAAATCCTTGTTGTGCTGATTTAAAATAGTAGTTAGGACAACAACTCTATAAAGAGTTTATAGATTGCATATTGCAAAGCCTTATTTCTGAGTCAGTTTAATTTGAAAACTCTGATGAGATAAACAATTACTTGTTTACCTTTTTACAGTGTGGAAATAAGGACGTTACATCAACTCCCTCTTCTCAACTAATGTTTCAGTGGCTTGCCAGTCAAAACGTGACTTGCGAGAGATTTCACCGCGCGGTGCACACACAAATTACGTGACTCATGAAAGGCAGGACACAAAGTTAGATATTGTATTTTGTACAATTCTTACGGTTATGAAATCGTGACATTATCAAACCACTTTACCGTAAAACCGGTTAATCCCAACACCCCTACACATGACACATGGAGCTTCTCTGTCCTCTTCTCCCTCATCACCTCACCTCAATCGTGGTGACTGCTGATTTTGGACTATGACTACAACAAGATATATGATATGTCTGCTCAGATACTCTACCATTACTGACAATAATTCCTCAATTAATTTACCTTCCATCATGCTACAAACTATTGCACTTCTGTCCGTCCTTGGAGAGGGATCCCTCATATGCGGCTCTCTCTGGGGTTTCTACGATCTTTTTCCCCTGTTAAAAGTTTTTTTTTTTTTTGGTAGTTTATTTGTCAAGGGTTAATAGTAGAGGATGTCACACCTTGTTAAGGCCATATGAGACAAATTGTGATATGTGAACATGGGCTATACAAATAAAATAAAATTGATTGACTGATTGATCAGCCCTCCCTCTCTCTCTCTCTCTCTTTCTGTCAGCATTTTTTATATTATTCTTTTGCTTTTTTAATTTTTTTAATTATTCTTTTGCTTTTTTTATATTTCTTTATTCTCTTATCTTCCTCATTCGGTAATTCCTCTTAACTTAAATCAGCACCACAGCACTGAGTCATATTACTCTGCTAGTCAACAAGTGACTCTGCTTCTCTGATGTCATTCATGTCAGTTTCTCGAAACACTTCATGACAACAGGTGTTTAGAAAAACCTGTTGAATTCATGTTTATGTTCCTGGATAAACAGGGCGTCAATTCTTCTGCAACAATGAAGTTAAATCACAGCGTTACGTTGTAATCTGTGGGAGGAACTTCTCTGTCTGCAGGAGTGTGTATGTGGATGTATCGGCTTGTCCCTCTTCACACACAAACCTATAACTTGACCTGACTGTGCGCGTCACGTTGCGTCTCGTGTTGTGCAGCAAGTTTACACGTGTTTCAAATGCTGGAGAAAATCAAACAAACACAAAGTGAACGACAGTCCCTCAAGTGTCCTAATAAATTGTGATCATTGCTGGTGTTTATTGTTAAAAGTGTAAAGTAAGGGCAGGTCAGAGGGGGAGTGAGGAGGATGTCAGTCAACTCTCCCTTACTGCCAACATAACTGCAACAACACGCTTGTGTGGATATATGCTGCACAATATCAGGAGAATATGTCCCATCCCCACTCAGAAGGCGGCACAGGTTCTGGTTGAGGCTCTGGTCATCTCATGCCTAGACAACTCCCTCCTGACTGGTCTACCTGCTAGTGCTATCCGACCGCTGCAGCTCATCCAGAATGCAGCAGCTTGACTGGTCTTTAACTTACCTAAATTCACTCACACTACTACACTCCAATCCACCAGTGGCTGCCCGCATCCCTTTCAAAACACTACTACTTGCGTACCGTGCTGTGAATGGATCAGGTCAAGTCTATATTGGGGCATGGTTAAACCCTTCACCCCAGCCCGTCCAGCCTGCTCTGCATCTGCCAATCAGCTTTCTGTTCCCACACTGCGAGCTATCACTCAACAAAATCACAACTGTTTGCTGTTCTGGCTCCTAAATGTTGGAATGAGCTCCCCATTGACACCAGGACAACAGAAAGTATACAGAACTTCTGCTGCAGACAGAAGACACATCTCTTCTGACTACACCTTGGTGAAGAAGATAATGTCTAATAACCAATTTAAAAAAAACATATTGCACTTAAATGTAGCACTTTAAAGTTGGGCTTTTTTTTTTAAAGCAAATTGTACTTACTTGATTCTTGTTATTCTGGTATTGTTCCCTCATGGGTTATGCCTTATTGTGAGTCACTTTGAATAAATAAATAAATAAAATTTAATTTAATGTTATGTTTCGGCACAGCGCTAATCTCATTATCATTGGCTGTTCCTGTTGTAAAAACATGGATGGAAGTTTTATCGACGTTGTATTGACCATGTCTAATATTTCTATCTCGGAAAAATTGTATCACGATAATTAACTTTATCTCTTTATCGCCCAACCATAGATTTTTTTAGTAGGCTATTGATCATGGTGATAACGTTAGTGCACATCCACATCATTGTAATATCACACCAGTTTTTCCTATTATACCGTGTACTGCCCACCCCTACCTCTGTAGGAATGTAATTAAGTGTGTTAAGCTGTGCAGTGCTGATTTGCACTCTCTCGCTGTCTCCCCCTCTCTCTCAACGCATTCATGGACATCCATTAAGTTTTTACCATACTTGTCAGACTAACACAATTCAACACGGTAGATACCACTGCAAGTGTCGCCATGACAACAGTTGTCAGCAGGCAGGCACACCCATGGCACTAAGAGTTCTAGGTTCTTTTGGCCTATACTGTTGCACTTGGCTGCAAATGGGTTAAACCTTTCTCTGTTAATCAATTAGATCACATAAGAAGTATCATAAGTGAGATTCCGATTTTAAGCAAAACAATGATTTCAGGCATGAATTTCCATCATCTTGGTGTTTGTTAAAAAAAAGGTATTGAATGTAATGTTTTGAATGTTACTTAGAGTATCTTCTGCTCTCCAGGCTCACCACTCCTCCTCTTTGCCAACCGACGTGATGTACGATTAGTAGATGCAGAAGGTGTGCGGGGTGAGTCTGCCATTGTTGTTAGTGACCTGGAGGATGCAGCAGCAGTGGACTTCCTGTATGCTGAGGGCCTTATATTTTGGACTGATGTTAGTGAGGAGGCGATCAAACAGACCCACTGGAATCGGTCATCTAACTGTAAGACTATATGTTGTTTTCTGCCTGTTTATTCTACTTATTTAATAATAAGGACCAACTGTAATGTAATGCATCTTCCTTATAATCATCATTTCACACTGTATGATTTGTGGTTGCAGCACTTAAAGAGGCACTGGGAACTGGTCAGGCAGTTGTAGTATCTGGACTGGACAGTCCTGATGGGCTGGCCTGTGACTGGCTGGGGAGAAAGCTCTACTGGACAGACTCAGAGACCAACCGGATTGAAGTGGCCAACCTCGATGGCACCTCCCGAAAGGTTCTGTTTTGGATGGACTTAGACCAGCCCAGGGCTGTCGCTCTCAACCCTGCTCACAGGTAACTAAACACACATTTGTCTTTCTAGTTGTGAGGACACCTACCAGAATGCATTACCTAGCCTTAACCCTTACCTTAACAATCAGAACTAACACCTTTGAAGATGTGAAGACTGACCAAAGGCAGGGTTCCTGCAGTTTTCTTGTGTGGTCGTTCATGTGGTATGTTCAAGTCAGTGAAGCTTTATTGGCAGACATGACCGAAACGTACAACAAAAAAACGAATAAACAGACTTATAATAATAGTAACAGCAACAACAATGATAAGTGTACTTAAACAGGATATTAACAATCAAAAAGCTAGTGTATGTGCTAGTGGATGTTAATGCACCTTGTTGGAATATATCAGCAGACATTTAGCCTTTAAACATGGTGTAAATGACCTAGTTTCGATGAACAAACTGTCAATAACTGTCTCTGAAACCTTGTAAACTTGGTTGGGCTCTCTGAGTCTCATATCTCCTCTCCTGATACAAAAATACATATGCTTGCAGGAGAGTTTTCGGGATGGGTGGGGGAGTTAGCTGTCTACTGTGAGAGGGGCATTACCAAATAATAGCTGGGTTTTAATTAACCGCAGGGTCCCCTTTAAACACCGGGTGTTTTAGTTATACTGTTCAGTTCTACTGCTTTGTGTGTAAGACCATCAAGTTAGAGTTTTTGTGGACAGTTTCTCTGAGGGTGGTGACTTTTCCCATTGGCTGGCTACTACATAAGCCGTGATCTAATAATCTTGAAATATAAAAATGTAATATAGTTTAAACAGTAGCTAATAATTCTAGCTGACATGAGTCCTGGCATATTTGAAACTGAGGTAATGTCTGTTATGGTAATAGCTGATTGCTGACATGCACTGAACTCCGGAGATCCTCCGCAGTTTCTCCAGAGGAGATATATATACATGAATGCAAATGTCCAGTGAGAGCCTCTGGAGTTCTCAGAAAGTCTGCAGAATCCAATGTGAGAATACAGCAGGGGATCGCAAGTAGGTGGGTAAAAAAAACATAAAGTGAACAAATATCTGCGGATGAAAGAGCAGAGTAATATACAAAGCAGACACAGTCAAAGAAGTCAAGAGAGTTTGTGGTGATGAGAGCCAGCACAGAGAAAGGCAATCTGCGGAGAAAGTCCAGACCCAATTCTCTGGAGATCTGCCCCAGGACATGTCTGAAAACTGCTAATAAGATGAAGGCAAAGAATCACACTTAAGTCATTTGAAAATGTTGCTTTTCTTTCCGTGTGGTTTGAACATATAACTGACTTCCCTCCTGTCTTGCATACATAGCTCTTCAGAGATAGATTTACAGTTGTGAGTAGATTCAGTCTGTAGAATGCTGTACAGCAGGAAAGAGCCATAAGTAAAATTTGATCTTTTTCACTCAATTGATTTATGGTTGTTTAAACTGTTTTTATGGTTTATAATACAGAAATCTCCCCCTGTGAGCTCTATTGCATTTTTTAGTTAAATGGACTAAATAATTAGCTTGAACTACATTTATAACATACCCTTTCTCTTTCCTGTATTGCTTAAGCATCTTAGCTCCAGAAACAAATATGCACAGCTAACATTCAGATATATACAGATTACAAAAACCAAAGGGTGTGTCTCTGTTTGGAGTTGTTTGCATATCTGTTAATCATACTGTAACTATAGCTCAGTGGGTGTAGGGCAGGCGGAAGAAAAGAGGACACAGTTCTAAAAATACCCTGGCAGCAGGGGACAGTAAGGTAGCTGATGTCAGGTTGAAATAACCGAGAGGCAGGGCCAGGTTAACACTTCGCTGTACCCTGGGCAACAATATTCAAGGGCCCCATGATCACAACCCCAGGATCACCATAAGCTGGCAAAATACAGAGTAATATACAGTAAATATACTCAATACTTAACTAACTGTCTAAGTGCATTTTGATGTACAGATGTGCAAATGCTCATAGAACTACAAATGCACCACTATGTCCTCTTGTCAACACCACTCACTCACATATGATGTTATGAAAACTAAAAACATCAGCATCAGTATAATCTGGCAAAATTGACCCACTACATAGAGAGGGAAGGAAGTGTCCTCCATTTTCCCAAAAAAAGAAAAAAGCAACCACTTTCAAAGCATTTAATATTTATTTAACACCTATTCCCAACACAAATGTATTAAACTGATAGAGCCATCACAGAGGAAGTCCACAGAGAAGCCAAGGACAATCAAGTTATCGTGCAATATAAACATAAACAGAAATCTGCCTGTTTTCTCTCAACAACAATAAACAATGTACAGCAAAAATAAATAAAATGCAGTATCATCTGTATAATTTTAACTTGTTTTAAAACAGAAAACAACCTGTCACATCACAACTCAAGACAGGCAAGGGTTAAACATTTTAGTGCAAGATAAACATTTGGAAATTTGTCAGTTTCTCTCAATTAGACAAGACAAAAAGAAATGCTACATAATCTGGCAAAATACACAATTTTAATCCTAAATAATGGGGAAGTGCATGTTTAAATTTGAAATGCTTGATTTCATTTGGCAAACACATCTTACACTGGCATTTTTCTGGACTTTGAATGTGCAAACTGGTGTACAATATCTTTGAAATCAAGGGCACTAACAAGTTCATGTTCGATGGCCAAGAGAGAAAGTGCAGAGAGCCATGTCTGTGACATTGTGGTCCTCAGATCATTTTTAACTCGTTTCAAAACAGAAAACAACCTCTCACCCTCACAGTTAGAAACAGGCAAGGTTAAAAACTGTCCCAGTGCAACATAAACATTTGGAAACGTTGTCTTAAGTCCATGTCTATCAAGAGCTTGCAGCAGCTGTACGGGTGAAGTCTCATTCTGCACAAAGTGTTTGAATTGAATAAGTTCGTCTGACAAGGAACCATCCAGATCTGTCGGATAAGTGGAGCACAGCTTAGCAGTTCTGCACATCACAATCATTGCAGTCCCTCTCAAATAAAAGGTCACACACATGTGTAGGCTTCGATGCGCTTGGATAGGCACGAACAAAGTCTGTCAATGATGACATAATATGTTTCAACCTTAAATCTCTGATTACTATTAGTAAAAGCTACTTCGCTGTCATCACCAGACTCAAATTTATTTCTTTTTCTCACACGTCGAGTGTCAAACTGGTAGTTTTGTGTGGCACTAACAGTGCGTGCAGATTCTTCGAGCTCTGCAAACTGTTCTCGTAGAGTGCCAACATATGAATGCAGTGACCACAAAAGGCCAAGAGCAGTAGCTGAATCCATATTGCTTCTTTGGAGTTGGTTACTTGTTGCCTTAAATCTCTATAGACAATATCTAATGCAGTGTTCACAGCGATGTGTTGATGCACTGCAAAATGTATACAGGGACTGCAACAGTTCAAAAAGGAGTTAACCTCATCACTATCAGGGTGTGGGTGGGGGAACGGAGTAGGAAAAAGTGAAAGGGAAGGACCAAGTTGCTGAACTAAATATTTAACAAAAAGTGTCCTTTATTTAAAAGGTAAAAGTAACAAAATAATTCTTCAATAAAGCAAAAGGTGCACTCTGGCAAAACAAGGGAGAATCAACAGGAAATACAGGAACACTTACTGAGGTCGAGGCGATATCAGACAAGACACATGGACATGGGGAAAATGATGACGAACCAACAATGACATGGGGGAACACAAAGACTTAAATACACACTTGAACTAATGGGTAACTCGGAACAGGTGGCACAGGACAAACAGGTGAACATGATGAGGGCAGGAAGTCAAATGGGGAAAACACACCGGGAGCAGGGACTATAAAATAAAACAGGAAACAGAGGAACAATGAACAAACTTAAAACATGAATTGCAAACGTAACAAAAACACTGTTGAAACCGAACTGAAAACACTCTTCATAAACGAGAACAAAAAATACAATAACAATGACAGGGATGAATGCAGGAGAAGCATAGGGGGGAACATGGAGGAAGGCAGAAGGGAACATGAGAGGAACAAAGGGTGAACATAGCAAGGGACAAAGAAGGGGAACACAGGAGAAGCACAGGGTGGAACATAGAGGGGAACACAGAGATGAACACAGGAGAAGCACAGGGTGGA